TTTCTTGCTCACTTTCTTAAGTTTTAAGCCAATCACATGTGTCGAACTACTATTGTTTTTTCTTCAATTCACAGACATCACATCACTTTTTACCTCATCTGACCCCTGGAAGCCCCCTTGGACTGCCCCCTCCTGTAGAGGACGCCAGAGAGGACCAGCCCAGCTTATCATCAAAGAGGACCCCCAGATATTTGTAGGTGTGCACCACCTCAATGTCCTCCCTCTCTATGGAGACTGGTTGATGGTGTGACCTCTTCCTTCTGAAATCCACCACCATCTCCTTGGTTTTGGCTGTGGTCAGGGACAGACAGGACTTACTGCACTAGTCCCTAAAGGCATCCACAAGGTCCCTGTACTCCTGCTCCTGATTGCTCCTGATACAAGCCACAATAGCTGTACCGTAGAGTATTTTTTGTATGTGGCGTGAGTTGTACTTAAAGTCCACTGTGTAGAGTGTGAACAGGAATAGTGCTAACACAGTTATTGTACTATGATCATACTCACCACTCTTTCATGTATCCCAATTATCTAGGTCAGATCGAGTGTGTACGTGTGCAGGTGCTTGGACCGACCTTCGGATGTGTGTATTTTCCCAGGACGTGCACATACTGTGGTATGTATTAGCCTGCCCAGTCGGCCTAGTCGCTGGTGTATCCTAGTTACAGCCTCAATGCGTAGAGCAGCTTCATCTCTCTCCACAGCTTAACTTTACTATGAGGGCTTTATTATACTATTATATTTGGATCTTGCTTGGCTTTTTCTTTTAAATTCACACAGAGATAACATCTTGATGATGTGGTGATAATATATTGATGATATGGTGATAACACATTGATAACACAACTCAACACACAGTGATTATGCTTGGATTTTGGTGCTCTTGCTTACCTTTAGATAGATAGATAGATAGATAGATAGATAGATAGATAGATAGATAGGTATACTTTATTTAATCCCCAGGGGGGCAATAATGACAAAAAAAGACACAGATCACAAGAACACAGCACACATACTGACACAAGAAAAATCCCAAGAAAACATCTACACACATAAGTACATAATGATCAAATAGCTGCTCTCAACTTTGATTATTAACTGATTATTTTTTAAAACCTCCACAACAGCCTTTTAACAGGAATAAAGAGTGACACTGACAACTTGGCTGTCATTGGCAGTGTCATTCTCTTTGGCAAATAGGATTCAATACTTCTCCGCAATTTTCATATAAAACTCTTTTGGTTTTATTATTTCCCATGTCGTCTTAAGCATTTTAAAACATAGTTTGTGCATTAGAACAGGGTATGTGAGACATAAGGGACAAATTGAGTCTTGTATTGATTCAGTAATGGACAGTGCTTTTTAGTCTTTTTTTAAAATTCAGGACAATTTGATATTATACGGGATGGGGGGCAATAGTTATGTTACATAATTACATCATGTCACTAAGTAAACTAAGTACAATAAGTTAAAATAAGTCTTTGTTAACTTTTGCTTTCATACAGGACATAAACAGAGGTCATCTCGGTGACAGTCCTGTGTTTGTTGACCCATCCACCTCCAGAGGCCTGCTTTCCAGCTCTTTCCCCACTAATTCACTGCAACAATAAACTCCTCCCTGTCTACTAGCATCTTCCCACCATCTCTCAAAATCGCTGCTGTCACCCCGATTCTAAAAAAACCTGGACTCAACCCTGACATCCCAAATAACTTCAGGCCAATCTCCAACATACCCTTTCTGTCCAAACTACTGGAACGTGCTGTAGCTTCCCAACTGAAACACCACCTCTCAATCAATAACATGTATGAAACATTTCGATCACACCACAGTACTGAAACTGCCTTCCTCAAAATCACTAACAACCTCCTTCTCTCCTCTGATACCGGAAACATCAACATCCTCATCCTCCTCGACCTCAGCACTGCCTTCGACACCATCAATCACTCCATCCGTCTCACCCGACTTGAAACCGTCTTTAACATCACTGGCACTGCTCTCAGCTGGTTCAAATCATCTCTCTGACAGACTTCAGTTCATCTCAGTTCATCAATAACTGCAAATCCCCCACTGCTCCCCTCCTCCAAGGTGTCCCCCAAGGTTCAGTTCTCAGTCCCCTCCTCTTCATCCTGTACCTGTTCCCCCTTGGTCACAAAATCCGCCGTCATGATCTCCAGTTCCACTGCTTCGCCGATGATATCCAGCTCCTCATCTCCACCAAGACAATCTCCACTGCCACCCACCCAACCCTGACAAACTACATAAATTAGATAAAACCCTGGCTTCAAACCAACTTCCTCCAATTAATCTGCAACAAAACTGAAATTATCATCATTGGACCAGAAGCACTCACCAAATCCACCTATAACTTCACCCTCAACATCAACGGCTCCACAGTATCCACCTCCCCTCACATCCGAAATCTTGCCGTCATTTGTGATCAATCCCTCTCCTTCGACCAGCACATTAAACACATCACCAAAACAGCCTTCCTTCACCTCAAGACCATCGCCCGCCTCCATGCATCCCTCACCTCCTCAGAGACAGAAACCCTCATCCACGCCTTCGTCACCTCCCGTCTGGACTACTCAACAGGGTACTCTATGGCTCATCTTTAAAATCCCTCAATAAGCTCCAGTATATCCAGAACTCTGCTGCTTGGCTACTCACCCACTCTCGCACCCCTGACCACATCACCACCACTCTGCATAAGCTCCACTGGCTCCCCATCCCCCAGAGAATCCACTTCAAAAGCCTCCTTATAACATACAAAGCCCTAGATAACCAGGCCCCAAACATCTTTGAGTGCCTTGAAAAGTGCTATATAAGTATAATGTATTATTATTATTATTATTATTGTTATTATTATTATTGTCCCTCTTTATAAGACTCACTGAGTGACATTGTTGAACCAGCAATTTTGTTGTAACACTTTACATGTTACCACCACGCAATGTGGTGTGAAGAGGTCAAAGTAATTTCACATCGGACCAAGCTGGGAAACCCCAGTCTCAGGTAATTTACTCTCAAGGTCTACAAAAAGGCAGGGTTATAGCCATGTGGAGCACTGATATTAACCAGCATCACTGACTGTCTCTGTCTCAATTAACAAACTATTTACATTTAACAGTCTTTCAGTTTTTGGCATTTATTTAGAAAATACTAAAATGTTTTAATTTCTGTATTTACAGTTAAAGTAAGCAAGAGCTCTGTTTGGGGTGTCGGTGGCTTAGTGGATAGAGCAGGCACCCCATGTATAAGGCTGTTGCCGCAGCGGCCCGGGTTCGATTCCAGCCTTTGGCCCTTTGCTGCATGTCACTCCCTCTCTCTCACTCCCCATTTCCTATCGGTTAAAGGCAAAAAAATGCCCCAAAAAATATTTTTAAAAAAAGAGAGAGAGAGAGCTCTGTTTATACAAAGCTGGTCAAATAGCCGTGGCTAACCTTGGCCGCTTTCAGGGACAAGCTGTCTGCTAATAGTTTCCTCAGCATCTCTGTCAGATCCACCCCTCGCTCCTCCACAGCACCAGCCTCTTGCCCAAATATGGTCACTCCTGGCTCCCAAAAATAAAGATGTCTGTGGCCAAATTGCCAAACTCAATATTTCAAAATGGAAATTGACAAACCAGTGGGTTTAGTTATGGCAGCTACATCCAATAGTTTTACGGTCCGTGGTTATCCTACATAAATAATGCAGCAGATAAATCCAGTCATTATATAGAGAATACGCCAAACAAGTCCTGCTAAAAGTTAACCAGCTAAGTTTACCAGAGTAGGCTAGAAGACACAGTCTGTGGACAGCACCTAAAAACAATTTCATGGTAATGAACACAGTTCCATGGATATACATTTCTGTGCCTCTATCCGACTGACAGGTCGCCGTGAATGCAACTTGTCAATCACAAGTTAGCCATGCCCTAAAGTATATCCTGCTCTCATGTCTATTTCAATATAAACAAGACCATACTATACAAAGGGAACATCAAATTGTATTGAGGAAGACTTAAATTAGGGACGGAGACCATAAACTCTTTAGTTAAATGTTTACTAAGGTAATAAACCACATGAAAATTGGGATCATTTTCTCATTGGCTTACATGTAATTGGGCTTCTCTTTGCAGCCAGTGGAGTCACTCCCTTGCTGGCCATTAGAAAAGCAGGTTTAAGGCACATTTTATACAGTCTATGGAGAGCACCTTGCCTGGGTCCAGACTGGTGTTAAATCTGAGAGCCATTTAGTCTCGGTTTTGAAATAAAAATGCTTATTACATTTAGTCACATTTTAGTCATTTTTATCCTTCATAGTTTAAGTCCACAAAAATTCAAAACATTTAAGTCAACGAAAATTTAGTCAACTTTCAGTCATTACATTTTCTGTAGGCCTATGTGTTTTTGATTTTTAAACTAATTTAGTTAGGCTTATTCAGGCTATAGCTACAAATAATTTCTACACACTTACAAACTTCCATTCCTCCAGCAGTTTTTGACAGATTTGAGTTGTAATTTATGAGCACACACTTACTGATCATCATCTGAAAAGTTCAACAACTCTCTATTTATGGTCTCAGAAACTTTGACATCACCAAGAACTAATCTGAGACAACTAGGATTTGTGCCCAGGTTAATTGTAAACTCTGACTTATCCATCTCACTGTTAAGCAGCAGAGAAATAGCTTCTGCAACATGTTAGTCTGGAGGTTTAAACTCATGTTCTCTCACAGAGTTGGGGATTAAAACTAAACTTTCATCTATGTCAGAGAAAACTCAGCTGACTTCAGACTGGTAACTTACAGCACAGCTACACTCACAGATAACTAAAAAAATCACATGAATTGACATTGAAGAGAAACAAGTCAGCACAAATAGATATTAAAATCTACGGTGCATTCCTGAAATCAGTGACACTATCTGGAAAATCCAATCCGCTCCATGTGTTTTAGCGCCTCCCGTCGGCCATGTTTGTAACTACTTTAAATGACGCTATCTGACGGACTTCAGGACCCAGAGGAGACCCTCTGCAGCGGGGAGCTGGCAAACATGGCGGACCAAAACAAGAAAGACACCGAACTGAAGTTCTACAGTGAAATATTAAGGTGCGTAGTTGTCTTCAATGGAAAATAATAGTTAACTTATCGACATGGGAGCCGCAACTTTCCCACATTTTCTCACTCAGCTGTTGTTGGTCAAATATGTTCTGTTATCAGAGCTTTTAAACTGTTGCCCCGTACACATGGTGGGTTCATTTGACTGTTAGCTAGCTCAAGTTTTGTGAATGTGGTAACGTTACATGGATGTAACTCACAGGGAAAACATCAGGTATATATATGAAAAACGTATAAAATAGCAATACTGAGGTAACTTTAGCTTTAGTGTAACGACGTAGTGTAACATTGTTCAGCTCCTGTATTTAAATAACGTTTAAAGTAACCACACTGCAAGGTAAAATACTCTGTTACAAGTACAAGTCCTGCCTCAAAATGTTGTACTGTAGTAGAAATACCGTCACAATTACCCAGAAGCCAAAGTGGCACCCTCACAGTGTTTGTATTGTCCAGCCAACAGTCCAAACCTCTACATTATGATAATATGTTGAATTACTCTAAAGGAAATTATCATATTTGAAAAGCTCGAATCACAAAACGTTTGGCATTTTTACATTTAAATGAATAAAAGATTAACAAAGTAGTTACCAATTAATTTTCTTTCAGTCAATCAATAGATTGTTTGTTACAGCTGTACTTGTATATAGTCATATATTTTGGGTACCAAAACTTTAATATGAAAAGTTACTAGTAACTAAAACTGTCAGATAAATGTAGTGGAGTTAAAGGCATCATGCAGTTGACTTGATTTTTTTTAAATATAACATGTCTGGGCGAGGTCCCATGGCAGTGAGTCACTGCTTTATGACTCATGATGACATTTGAAATACACAATATTACAATTATATGCAGCTGGACTCCATTAACAATATAACACTGAGCTGCAATGGCAGTAGAGTATGCCATTTCCTGTATTTGTAATCTAGCAATTAACACATCAGGATGAAATTGGTTATTGTGGTTTCCATAAGACTTATAAATTCTATGCACCTTACTGTATGCACTCACCCTACTTAAAATCACATGAAATTTCCTTGATAGAGACTTTTATAGATAGGTAATAATGCAACTTGCATTATTACCTATTAAGATATGTAGTTCTTGGGGGAGCTCACCCGTGGGCACTTCCTCTTAGGGAGTCCCCAGAACTGTTTGGTCCATAAATGTCTAACAAGTCAAGTGACTGTCTGTTTGTGCTTTGCCTCTTTTAGCTTAAAGATGTGGATTTATGGCAAATTTAGGTTCAGTCTCAGAACTAGACTTTTATAGATAGGTAATAATGCAACTTGCATTATTACCTATCTATAAAAGTCTCTATCAAGGAAATAATAATGCAACTTGCACCTTTAATAAAAAGAAATTTGCTTTGTCTTGAATTATGTTATCTAGTTATGTCCACTAAAAGAGATTAAACCATTTAAAGTCTGTGCTCACCTTGAATCTTTGATGTTACAGACCTCACCTCTCTGTGCAGTTAGGGACTCTAAAGTTTAACATTTACTTTATGACAGTTAAAAAAGCAGCCTACTATATCCTTGAAATTACAGCAAGAATTAAAGGACACATCTCTGGAGGATTTAGAAAACATGTCAATCTTTAGCAGTTTTGGATACTGTAATGGAGTTTTAACAGATCTCCTTGTAACTGCTGTTGATAAAGTCCTCACTAAAGAGAGAAAGGCTTGTGTCTTAACTGTAAGGAGGACATTAACTGCATAAACTCTGAGAAGTTCAATTTAAAGCAATATTTTATCAGGACCTCTCAGTTTATATTTATATGTCTTGGCTTTTTCTAGTTATAAAAGTGTTGAATGTTTGAAGCTGAATGTTGTTTCTTTCTTTAAATTCCAGTCCATCTGAACTGTTCGCAGCCCGGTCCAGGAGTCACAAGATCCCAGTCAGAGGACAGAAGGACTTCTTCCCCAATGACTCAGACGAGCAAAGACAGCACCTTGAGCAAAGTCTAAATGAGCACTGGAGCCTTATATCAGAGGAGAGAGTGGAGAGGCTGTGAGTAAGAGTAACATCCATGAGCTCCTGTCAATAACTGTGAAGGATGAATAATAAGCAAACATACATGTTGTGAAAAAGACACAGTGACCCTGGTTGCAGTTCTAATATAAAAAGTTTGCTTTGTTTGTTTTCTGAATGTCCTTGAATGCATCGACAATGAGGAGTTTTCGATGCAGTCATTGCCTGCAGCTGTATTATAACATTATACCTCTTTGAAAATGAAGGTGACTAAATGTGCACTGACAGATTGCAGAGTCATGCAACATTCATGGCTCTTTAAGTTACTTTTTAATCCAGTGAAATAAATGTAAAGTAGAAGCTTAAGGGTAGGAACACTTTCCATACTCCACCAGTCAGCATTTTTATGTTAATTCTAGGTGTTTTTGGACAGAAGGAACTTTTTTCATAGTTCTTGGAACATAGTTCCAACAACCCCAGTTTTTATTGTGTCAGCTATGCAAGAACTACGAACGATCAACCTTTTGTAGCCCCTATTTTGGAGTAGATCACTTTCAGCACAAGAGGAACCTTGAGTGACGTACAGTACAGGCCAAAAGTTTGGACACACCTTCTCATTCAATGCGTTTTCTTTATTTTCATGACTATTTACATTGTAGATTCTCACTGAAGGCATCAAAACTATGAATGAACACATGTGGAGTTATGTACTTAACAAAAAAAGGTGAAATAACTGAAAACATGTTTTATATTCTAGTTTCTTCAAAATAGCCACCCTTTGCTCTGATTACTGCTTTGCACACTCTTGGCATTCTCTCCATGAGCTTCAAGAGGTAGTCACCTGAAATGGTTTCCACTTCACAGGTGTGCCTTATCAGGGTTAATTAGTGGAATTTCTTGCTTTATCAATGGGGTTGGGACCATCAGTTGTGTTGTGCAGAAGTCAGGTTAATACACAGCCGACAGCCCTATTGGACAACTGTTAAAATTCATATTATGGCAAGAACCAATCAGCTAACTAAAGAAAAACTAGTGGCCATCATTACTTTTAGAAATGAAGGTCAGTCAGTCCGGAAAATTGCAAAAACTTTAAATGTGTCCCCAAGTGGAGTCGCAAAAACCATCAAGCGCTACAACGAAACTGGCACACATGAGGACTGACCCAGGAAAGGAAGACCAAGAGTCACCTCTGCTTCTGAGGATAAGTTCATCCGAGTCACCAGCCTCAGAAATGGCAAGTTAACAGCAGCTCAGATCAGAGACCAGATGAATGCCACACAGAGTTCTAGCAGCAGACCCATCTCTAGAACAACTGCGCCAATCAGGCCTTCATGGTCAAATAGCTGCTAGGAAACCACTGCTAAGGAGAGGCAACAAGCAGAAGAGATTTGTTTGGGCCAAGAAACACAAGGAATGGACATTAGACCAGTGGAAATCTGTGCTTTGGTCTGATGAGTCCAAATTTGAGATCTTTGGTTCCAACCGCCGTGTCTTTGTGAGACGCAGAAAAGGTGAACGGATGGATTCCACATGCCTGGTTCCCACTGTGAAGCATGGAGGAGGAGGTGTGATGGTGTGGGGGTGTTTTGCTGGTGACACTGTTGGGGATTTATTCAAAATTGAAGGCACACTGAACCAGCATGGCTACCACAGCATCCTGCAGCGACATGCCATCCCATCCGGTTTGCGTTTAGTTGGACCATCATTTATTTTTCAACAGGACAATGACCCCAAACACACCTCCAGGCTGTGTAAGGGCTATTTGACCAAGAAGGAGAGTGATGGAGTGCTGCGGCAGATGACCTGGCCTCCACAGTCACCGGACCTGAACCCAATCGAGATGGTTTGGGGTGAGCTGGACCGCAGAGTGAAGGCAAAGGGGCCAACAAGTGCTAAACACCTCTGGGAACTCCTTCAAGACTGTTGGAAAAACATTTCAGGTGACTACCTCTTGAAGCTCATGGAGAGAATGCCAAGAGTGTGCAAAGCAGTAATCAGAGCAAAGGGTGGCTATTTTGAAGAAACTAGAATATAAAACATGTTTTCAGTTATTTCACCTTTTTTTGTTAAGTACATAACTCCACATGTGTTCATTCATAGTTTTGATGCCTTCAGTGAGAATCTACAATGTAAATAGTCATGAAAATAAAGAAAATGCATAGAATGAGAAGGTGTGTCCAAACTTTTGGCCTGTACTGTAAGTGTATAGTGATCAGTTGAACACATGAGTCAATGCAGCACGGGCAACCGTCATTTTTAGAAACCTGATAGCCCCGTTAACAGCAGACAACCCAAAACACAAACAACAGCTTGTAGCGAAAATTTAAGAAAACACGGACAAATGGATGGACAGTGAAGTCCAGGCTTTTCTGAGCATATACATGATAGGGGAAATGCAACACAATTGTGAATTATAGCCTGAGAATCTTCAATCAGAGACTTACTTCGCTTCCACGTTCATATTGGCAGTGTTAAGGCAAACAGAAAAAAAGCCCATTGAAGATATGTTGTTCTTGGGGGAGCTCACCCGTGGGCAGTTCCTCTTAGGGAGTCCCCAGAACTGTTTGGTCCATAAATGTCTAACAAGTCAAGTGACTGTCTGTTTGTGCTTTGCCTCTTTTAGCTTAAAGATGTGGATTTATGGCAAATTTAGGTTCAGTCTCAGAACTCTTCATTAACCCCGTTTCCAGCTGAGGCAACAGGCAGTTATTTTCAGCTCAGCCAAACAGCAGACAAAGTTGACCATTTATTTGCTAAAGAGCCAGATATTTTCCTCAGGAGTTAGTGGAGTCCAATACCACAGCTAAAATGAGTGTTAATATTGGATGTACATCCATCAGGTAGATGCAAACACCACTCCAAAAAACTACTAATGCCGCTCCATGATTGAAGCATGTGTAAATAATATGTTCGCAAAACACATTCACCATAACAACTCTATGAGGCAAAAATATGTCAGGGATGTGTGTCTTCTTTCTGCGCCCTGATGGCTAGGAAAAAAGTGTAGGCTCTTCCAATAATGTAAAGTATGTGGGTTGATGTTAATGGGATACAGCAGTAGGTTCAGGTTATGCTGCACCAACATGAGATAGATACTGTTTGTTTTTATCTCACTTTAGAGGAAACCTAGTGAAGGCCACATGGATTCCAAGTGAGCAGATTGTGGAGCTTCAGTCTCCAGCTGTAAGTACTGTATCAATAAGTGAAACAAACGATCAATACACACACACACACAGACACACAAATAGTTCTTGCTATAAATCATTTGTCAAATTATTATTCCGTGTCTTACAACATTTGTTGTCTTTACAAAAGGGAAAGTTCTGGCAGACTATGGGCTTTTCTGCCAACGGCAAGCAGTACCTCCTCCCTGAAGAGGCTCTTTACCTGATGGAGTGTGTGAGTGGCAGATAAAACCTGTTTACCAGGGTGTGGTTTACACATCATCCTTTGTGTTATGTAGTAGTATTTATACAGCACTTGTGATCTGTATAATGCTGACTGATGACATCTGTGAGTGGCTGTGTGAACAGGGAAACGTGCAGGTGTTTTACCGGGACCTGCCGCTGTCCATCCAGGATGGGTATGAGAGATTTCTGTCTTCGAGCACAGTGAGCCTCCAGCAATATCAGGTGCAAGAAAAAGTCCAACACATATTTAGAAGTAGGGCCACACTGCTGAACTGGTCTAATGACTCTTTTTCATCACAAAGGTGTTTGGGCATTTGAAGAGGCTTGGCTATGTGGTGCACAGATTTGATCCCAGGTAACAGAATCTTAACGTCACACTCAGATGGGATTAGAAATTTATACATTACATTGTAATATTGTCCATCAATCCATTATCTATAGCCACATTTAAAACCCCTTTTAGACATAGTTAATTACATAGTTTGAATCCTGTCCAGATGGATCTTTATTGACTCAGCGTTTTGGATGATGTTGCTGGGAAGGCTCTGCAAAATGTGTGTGTGTGTGTGTGTGTGTGTGTGTGTGTGTGTGTTTCTTCTTACAGTACAGAGCCATCATCTTATGCAAGGCAGTTGAACCTGCCTGTGTCACGTGAGAAAGTGGGAAGACAACTGAAGAGGAAGCGTAGTGCCAGCCCCACCCTCACCACAACATCCAGGTAAACACAGGCCCTGGACAAAATTACTCTCTATTTGTATATGTAGTGCTTTGTATTTACTGTCCACCATTTTATTTAAGCTTCCAGATAATTAAAAAAAAACACTCACTCACTTGCTCCAGTATAGTTTCTATTTTGACTTCTATTTTTATTGTAGTTTTATAACGTGTTATTTATTTATCTGTGCTTTTGCTGCTGCAACAATATCTTCTATTGGGATTAGTAAAGATTATCTTGTCTTGTCTTGTCTTGTCTTGTCTTGTCTTAAAATTCTGAGTATGAAGTAATTGAACTCGGAGTGATTTGGGACACAACTACATTTTACTGTAAAAAAGTAGAAATAGAAAGGAGGACTATTATTTTTCATTATCAAACAAGCTATTGATGGGGAACTCCAGTGATGTAGTTGTTTATTTCCATAAATTTGGGGTATGAGAAACAGATTTTTAAAAAATGGTCCAAATTGATGTAGCAGAGGCTGAGATGCCCTGACTTTTCGTTCCTTAACATTGGTCAGTCTTCAAAAATGCTGGATCCTACAACTCCCATTATACAATTTGACAAAGTCTCCCCACCTGATAAATGCCCGCATCTTTCAAACTCCATGCGAAGTGATCTTGATGTGTAAAAATCTGTGGAGTTCACCTTTAATAATTTACCTCAAAGTAAAGTGTTAGGAAATTGGTAAAAAAAAGGGGCCATCTCTGTGTCCCAGAGTTCAAAGTCTTATCTACTAATAACATTTTTGTCTGACCAATAGTCCAATTATATATTTAGTTGATACTCAAGTCATTGATTATTCCACTAAACTGTTACAGGATCCCGCAGTCATAAAATTTGTGGAAAAAATATGAAATAAGAAAAAATTGTGTGCCAGGTTTGGAATGAACAGAATGTTTTTGAAAAGTTTTGAATGTACGTTGTTTTGGCTATTGTTATATACGTATAGATGTTGGATAGGGGCAGCCCCATGATGGGAAATGACAGCGATCGACCTTAGTTTACAGAAGTATCACATACGCTCAGGTTCAGGCAAGGTTGCAAAACAATTAAGAGACATGTCCATGAAACTAATGGGTTTTTTTTAACAAGAAATAAATAATACAAACTTGTCAAATTCGGATCCAAACACATGTCAAATTGCATTGACATCTGTCTGTAGGCTCATCAGTTTTCTATCCCCCACAAAGAGGGGCACCCTCAACATTTTGTGAAGTGACTGCATATTTCTGTCTTTGCTGTAAGCATAAGCAGCTAATTTGCAGTGGAAGTGTCTCCTCGATGAGTAAAATTAGCAATTTGCATATTCACAAATGCCTGGGAAGTACGTGTTTTATTGCGATATAGGTGTACCCAATTTAATCTACTTTAAAGTTGTCATGGAAATGGGGTAATGGAGTATGGAGTTTTGAAAATTAATTGTTAAACATGTGTGGGAACCTCTGTTGAAAAAGTGACAGACTGTGGAAAATGACTAAAAAATGACAACAACAGATCTGTATTGGTGATCTATTGTAATGTGCAGTGAGCCTTTATGTAAATTAGAGACTCATACAATGTTTGTTCTTGCTGTAGTCATACTAAAGCACAAGAAGGATCCACAACTGAAAGAATGGAGGAGGATAAATGTGGCCTTCAACGTGAGGAGGATAAAGAACTTCCTGAGTCCCACCAGATGATGCCTTCAGGGACTCCAGACACCCAGACTAACACCACAGGTTCAGAAGACCAAGGCAGGGGCAGGAATTGGTGGATGACAGATGTTCTCGTGGACCGATCAGATCACCAGCCCGCCTGTGGTAGCTCACGCTGGGACTTCAGCTCCATCACTTTCCCTGACCTGGGCTCCAGGAAGCAGCTCTCCAGCTGCCTGGCCTCTCCAGACCCCTCTCTGCTCCCTGGGTCTTTGGCTGTGGGAGTCTGTGACATTGCTCACTGGAGTCAAAAAATAAACCTGAGGGAGGTGAAGATGTCCGCAAAGGACAAGAAGAGGGAAGAGGATCAGCAGAGGCACCGGCGGGACAGAGAGGTTTGTAGCATATGTAACATCAAGATGCAACTGAAAAATGTTTCACACAAATATTAATGCATTGTATTTATAGGCACGTTTCAGAGCACTCATGGACAGCTTACAAGACAGTTAAAAACAGGCAGCAATGTATCAAGACATCTTAAAATCAAACAAAGCAGTAGTACAAAATATTAAGTCAATAAAGTACGTTTAAAATCTAATGTTTAATAATATCTGTGAAATTATATGTTTGTTTTCAAGTGATATAAAGGTTCACATTATGGGTGATCACACTGTGAGTTCCTTCAAGGTTCAGCGATGCAGAAACTGGGCGGAGTATTGGGAGCTCATGGCGAGGCGGCAGGGGGAGCATAGAGGCCGACCAGCACATTTATGGGACAGAGAAGTCACTCCTTTACATGACCCAACACAGCCAATCCCCCATGGTGAGATCACATGGACCTGGTCTGTAAACTACATTGAGTTAATATAGTGTCTGGATCGAAGTCGATTACGTTTGTCTAATTCAAGTCAGTGATATTTATTTTCTCTTCCAGGGGAGCTGCTGGATAAAATCAGTGTGATTAAATCTACAAATTTGCTGGAGGGGGCATCCAGGTATCACTTGTTTCTATTTCCTCTTATTACACAGAAAATTGGTAAAATGTGGCAGTGATTCATCAGATATAGGTAGGTGTTCAGACTGAAAACAGCCCTGCTTTTATAAAGCGCAAGGGGCTGTGTTTTTGTTGCTTCAGGTTGCGGGTCAATAATGAAATTTTGTTTGGCAACATTTTCATAAATGAGAGCAGCACAGATGTTTGACGGAAGTTAATTAATGTGTATCATGATTCATCAGACAGTTATTGCACCACATGACAAGCCTCATAACTGATATGGTACGGTCTGACAGGATTTCATTAGCCCCGTCTCACACTGTGTGACGTGCAGTGAACCTGTGAGATTGTTGTTCGTGCTCATTCTATGGGCGCCTTCATTCATGACAGCAGAGCAGTGGGAGGGAAGGAGAGAACAGAACGAGTGGTGATAAAGTATTAGTGATTTTTATTCAAAATAATTTCACTCATTGTCACACTAAGCTGAATCGCTCTTGATTGACCCTAGAAATCAAAATAAGCAACTTGCCAGAGCTTAACAGTTGACTCCAAGTGAAGTTCAGACACGTATGGCTGTATTAACACTTAAATCTTTTTTCTTGCCTCCCGTAGACAGTAACAGGTTTTTTTTTTTTTTTATGCCTCATGCATATGCCAACAGCCATGAGGACATCGGAGGACATTTTTAGGTTGTCTGTGCCATACTCGTAAACGAGATATTTCAGGAACACCTTGAGGGAATTTCTTTAAATTTGGTGAAAAATGTCCAGGTGGACTCAAGCATAAACTGATGGAGGTACCGAAGGTCAAGATCGCTGTGACCACATAAAACATGATTTTGGCTATAACACAAGAATTCTTGAACTAATTATGATAAAGTTTCACGAGTTTCAAAGTGATGACATTTTATATGTACAAAAGGTCAAAGGTCAGCTTCACTGTGACATCATAATGATATGCAAAAACACTTTCCTGACCATTATTCAACAACAAAACTCAGGAACAGAAGGTGACACATTTGGTCAGATACTGAATTGGTTCCACTAATCTTAGGTGTCCACCTTGAAACCGCGTTGATTATATAGATCCTACGTGCTGCCTGGGAGAAGATGTGTGTGTGCAGAGCATCTATGTTTTACAACTTTTACAACAGACATTTATGTAAACTGCAGTTTGAGCGGGTGGTATTGGCACTCAGACCTTATTGTAATGGCATACAACCACAAGGCTGTAATACTAGCTTTTTTGTGTGGCAGTAAGCTATTTGGGAGATAGGGTTAGGGGGTTAATGTGGACTTAATGTGAACTGAGCTCGTCTCACTGCTATCGCGATTTATGATCTTCGATTTACAGACACATAAAGACTGTGAGACAAAGCAGTGAGACGCTGCGGCTCTGGTGTTTGTCACTGCCTCGTCGTACAATGATGTTGATGTACTGTGACTGAGAGTGCATCATGCAGGGGCTTGACCTCATGCTTTTGTCTGCTCAGGTTAAAAGGCTCCGATGACTGGAGGATTTGTTTCAATGTTTACCAACCGGATTCAGTGGCTGACTTCAAGAAGAGCAACCCGGGAAAGCCGTACTCCAGGATGTGTGTGTGCAGGTAGGCAATCACACAAACTGCCTGAGGGCATGTTTGCTCAAGATTGGCTTACAGGACACACAGAACATCTGACTCAAACTAAATACTGATAACAGCAGTTGAACATGAATGCCTCTTTTGTCTTATTTTCTTTTTCAATTTTTAAATAAATTACCTGGTTTGTAAAATGTTCGAAAATACTAAGAAATGCTCATCGCAGCCTCCCAGAATGATGGAGCATGTTGGCCCGTGTCTGTCTGAAATACTGACAGGAAAATGTGATTATCTCCTTGTTGTGTCTCAGTTTCGATGGCCCCGTACCTGACCTGCGAGCCATCAAGCAGTTGGCCTTCCAGAGTGGAGACATCCCAGTGGTCTTTGCTGTGGTGGACTATGGAGACATCTCCTTCTACACCTTCAAAGACTTCCAGCTGCCCACTGATGTGTACCCCTGACACCTCACTGTTCTTCACCAAACAACACGTATCCAGGACTTTAAAATTAATCTGCATCTGTCGGGTGGCTGGACATACAAAAATAAAAATATATAAGCAATCGTTGATGTTACATATAAAAAGAAAAATCCTGAGAAAGTGCTTTTGTGTGTCTGGCCAGTGTTTTGCAGTTGGAGGGGAGTTTTTAGTGCCAAAGTTTCAGTCCTGAGTTGGGATCTGTACAGTTACTACTTCAGAGCCGTGCCAAATTCTACACATAGTCGCTTTAATACACTAGTGACAGAAAAGTGACCAGTGATTTTAAAAAAAAAAAAAAAAAAAAAGTGGCTTTATCAGTTTTTATGCCTTGGTACACTCCTGACAGTGCTCTTAGGAAGAAAATACATTTTTCTCCAATCATTAAGACCAACAAACTAAGTTTACCAAACTTTTTGTTGTGTATTTTCTGCAGCAACACCAACAACATAGATTAACGCCTCATTTCCACAATTAAATTTAATGTCCATATTTCCGTTAAGTATATGGAGTTTACTCCAGGTGTTCAACACATTGGAAATGCATCTCTTTATGGATGAATAAACAGCCACTGCAGTGTCAGATCTTGTGGAACATGTGCATGGAGCAGGACAGAGACAAAAAACAGGACCAGTAATGCATGGCGACAAATAAGTGGGGAGATTGGCTGCCACGTGTGTAGCCAGCTTTGTAAAATACTTTGCTAAAAGACGTATGATCCACCCTGCATGCACTCTACATTACACTGCTAGCATGCTTCCAATGGTAGACAGCTAAATATGCTCTCAAACTGTTCCCTGAGAAAAAAAATGTATAAATAGAGCTGTATTACATTTATCAGTCTACAGTCTGCTGCAAAAGATCAATTTTTTTCAACATATTCGAGGCAAATTCCAGACTGAAAAAATAATGGAAGGAGTTGTCTTGCAAACACATCAGACATCATAGAGGTTCTTTGACTCACATACATACATACACAAAGCTATGTGGAAACAAGGCGTAAGAACTCTCTTCCTAGTGGGAAATAAGTTGTTGCTACAACACCCAAATAATGGTGGTGATGTATAACATTTACTCAAGTACTTTAAATACCTTATTAAAGTACTTTTACTTTAAGTATTTCCATTTTAGGCTACTGTATACTTCTACTCTGCTACATTCAGAGAAAATATTGTTCTTTTTCCTGCAAGACATCAATTTGATAACTTTGATTATTAATTACTTGAGAGATTCAGGTTATTAATTCATCAATTAATTAATGTAAATCAACAAATAAATTATGTATTACAGATACCCTGCTGTTTAAAGTAATAAAAACGAGCTTCACCATTACCACTGCAACAACAGAGTGATGAAGACATGAATGAATCAATAATAGAAGAAATTTGTGTAATTGGCCATTCTGCATGATGAGTACTTTTACTTTTAGTGCTTTAAGTATATTTTGATGCTTACACTTTTGTATTTCTACACCACAGTATTGCTACTTTTACTTGAATGAAAGATCTTAATACCTCCAGCACCACGCCACATAGTCACATGAACAAGAAAAGAAACTAATAAGAGCATAGTATAATTTATGTGAACTCAGGAAATTAAGTAATATAGTGCAAAATGTACAGCATCAGTTTTAGTGATAGTGTACTTAAATTAAAGATGCACTCCCAAATTCAGCTACAGCACTCCATAGCAATACTTTCATGTCAGTTAGGTGTCAAAGCATCAGCGGTGAGCTGGTAGAAAAAAATGTTGGGATTTGAGAGCACTGTATGGTCTTATAATACAACTAAAATGTGTAACATTAAATTCAAGAATTGTTGGAATTCACATTTTCTTAAAGGTATTTCAGGGACAGGTTCTGGGACTGGTCCTGCTTTTGTAAGAAGTTCCTTTATTGTAATTTATCTAATGTATGTTCTGTTTATTGCCATCATCTTTTTTGTTTGAGAGGTGTGAATAGTTTGTCAAAATATAACACTTAAATTATGTTTTATTCTAATGTTGTTTTTTCCCAGGGCTTTCATTGACATCTCCATCAGCTGCTATGCCGATGAATCATTTATCAAATTAATTTTTTCAAGATTAAAAGTGAAGTTTGACGCCCAAGTGAAAATGTTACATTTGCAATGAGAGTTTATTTTGCAGCTGGTGAAGCTCCGGGTATTTAACATATCAAAAATGTACACTTGAGATATTGCTGTTCACTTCTGTCTATGTGCAGGTACTTTTTCACATTTTCTAATTAAAATCCTTAAATCATTTTTAGTCATGTGCCTGTTTTTTGTCCTGACCACAGGTGTTGTAAGCATGAAGGACAGTGTGCACAGTGAAACCCTTTACACTCCCACTTGATGTCACACTGAGGTCTCATTATGTTGGCTTTTTGCTTCAGCTGCTGGTCAACAATAGAACTGCACAGGTAATTTGTGTCACGTCCCTTAACAACAGACCGCAGAAGCAAAGAGAAGCTTTCTTACACTTGACAATGCAATTAATTAGATCTATTGACTTTTGTACTGTCCTGCAAATTATGCAACACAGCTTCACAGCTTAAAAGGGTTTGCTCAGTTTGAGATGGAGACAAACAGCCATGGCAGCTCTGAGGACTCTAGCTTTTCTTGCTTTAATTGGTGAGTTATTAAATTCAACTTAAAGTTTTGGTTTTGATTAAATTTACTAATATTAGAATGAAGATGTTTTCTTGTCAATAAAGTTTTTTTGTCTCCTTCCCAGCACTTGTTTCCAGCAGCGAGACATCAGACTGCTCATACATTGACCTTCTGAATCACTTAGACCTGACAACATCAAATGATCTTCTGGCAGTGATGCGCCCTGTGAAGAACTGGACTACACCCACCCTCGTTAAGATGGACATGGTGTTGTATGGTATTTTAGGAGTGGTAAGTGTCCCTGTATTCTCTGGAGTGTATACATTAGCTTTCAGGGTGCATTGCTTTCATAAACCTGTTTTTTAAAGGGTCACTTCACTCAAAACACAATATATTTTGATAGAACAAGCAGCAACTACTTTGTAGTTATTTTGTGTCTCTTTGAGGTAACTTTGTGTATCTGCTGGTCTTTTGGGCTCTCTTTGTAGTCATTTTGTGACTCTGAGGTCTTTTTGTGTCTCTTTGTAGTAGTTTTGTGTCTCCTTGTGGTCTCCCTGTCTCTCTTTGATGTAATTTTATGTATCGTTTAGTCTTTTGGGCTCTCTCTAATGTAATGTTGTGCCTTCTTGGTCTTTCTGTGTCTCTGTGGTCAGTTTTCTCTCTTTGTAGTCACTTAGTGTGTCTTTTTGGTCTTCTTGTGTGTCATTGTAGTTGCTTTATGTCCTTCAGCGGTAATTTTTGTGTCTTCTGTTTTTTTTGGGTGCTCTTTGAGGTCTTTTTGTGTCTCCTTGTAGTCATTATGTATCTCTTTGTGGTCTCCCTGTGTCTACTTGATGTAATTTATAGCCTTCGTGGTCTTTCTATGTCTCTTTGTCGTCATTTTGTGTCTCTTTAAGGTAATTTTGTGTATCCACTGGTCTTTTAGTGTCTCTCTGAAGTCATTCTGTGTATATTTTTTGGTCTTTTGTCTCTTTTTTGTAGTCATTTAGTGTCTATTTTTAGTCTACTTGCATTTTTTTGGAGTTGTTTTATGTCCCTTTGTAATTTTGTGTATCTTTTGGTCTTTTTGTGTCTCTGATGTAGTTTTGTGAATTTTCTGGTCTTTTTGTGTCTTCTTGTAGTCGTTTTGTGTCTCTTTGTGGTATTTTGTGTCTCTTTGTGGTCATTTTGTGTCTCTTTGAGGTCTTTTTATGACTCCTTGTAGTCATTATGTGTCTCTTTGTGGTCTCCCTGTGTCTCTTTGATGTAATTCTGTGTGTCTTTGAGGTAATTGTGTGTATCTTCTAGTCTTTTGGGGTCTCTATGATGTAACTTAGTGCCTTCTTGGTCTTTCTATGTCTCTTTGTAGTCGTTTTGTGTCTCTTTAAGGTAATTCTGTGTATCTTCTGGTCTTTTCTGTCTTTTTATCGTCATTTTGTGTCTCTTTGGTCTTATGTGTCATTTTTGTCTCTTTGTGGTCTTTTGTGTCTTTGAGGTAATTTTGTGTATTTTACAGCCTTTTTGTGTCCCTGTAAAGTTATTTTGCGTCTCTTCCTGGTTGGTGCATGTTAATTTCTGTTTGCAGGTGAAGGCTGGGGGGCCCCCTAACACTTTAGGCCCCTCGACCTGTGCTCAGTAGGCCCGTTCAGTAATCTATACATGTTAATTGCCAGTTTATTGAGTACGCCTGGCTAAAATAAATGCAGTCTAAGACAACATCCTGCAACAAATTGTGTTTTGTCATACTATTTATGGTGTTTGTATTATTTCGTCCAGCTCTTTTATATGTGTAAGGGTATAGGCTGAATAATACAAACACCTCTGTATAATGCAATACATTTGAACAGCAGCAAAAACCACATCCTCCAAAAAGATCGTGCAGTTGAATCAACATGTCTCGTCATCACTCATAGGAATAATTCAGTAGTAAATAAAAGTAACAGGAGAGTGAGAGAGTTGTCAGTCAGACCTGTGAGAAAATGCCTAATCTGGAAAACTACCGTAAGTTAAAATACCTGTTCTAGCTGTTTTATCAGTAATGATGATAAAAAAACATCCACCAATGTAATACATTTATTTGTTTTTATATCTTGTGCAACAAGATGCAAAATATATCAGTTAGGATTTTGGGTCCTACATTATTTCACACTATGAAAGGGGATATTCTCATTCATTGATATTTCAAGTTTATTTTGCTGGTAATGCTTCACTTGAGTAAAATTTAAAAATGCAGAACATTCACATATAATTTTTACATTATGGGGCTGTTTTTACTTCATGTAATGGTCTGCATACTTCTTTTACCGCTCCCTTTTCACATCAGGGTTTGTGAATTATGTAGAACCAATGCTGTGAGCACCTCAAATTAAATTTCGTTCACCTCTGTTTCATCAGGGTGGCAAAATCTCAGAGACAGATATCTCAAAACCTTGGTAAATTAACCCCAAACTATCTTTGTGTATGAATACAGCTAGATTTAAGTGAGGAGATGTGTGATTTAGGTCAATAAATCCTTTCAAGTAAACATGCTGTTTTTGTTTTAAATGCACATGAATACTTACCAAAGTTGCTGCTGATTGTCTGCAGGATGAGAAGTCTCAAACTGTCACGAGTCACATCTGGATTCAAATGGTAAGACTCCTGACCAAAACATTTAGGAAACACAGACATGATCATGTTGAGTTCTGGTGCCAAAGAATTGACATCAACAACATTGTTTGGCTTTACGTTTACAGTCATGACTCTTTCAATCTCACACACTCATTGTGAACCTGTGCCAAAAAATGTTTTATTTTCCCAGCGTTGGACAAATGAATTCCTGACCTGGAATTCATCAGACTTTTGTGGCATCAATGTGTTGACCATTCCCAGATCGCGGCTGTGGATCCCAGATGTAGATATCCAAGAGGAGTATGTACCATGCATTACATAAGTGCAGTTTGTGGATCTTTTCCGAAGTGGTGTTTCATTAAGGAGAAATCAGGACAGCGGGGCTCATTTTGACTGGGACCAGGCTAGTTTGGAGGAATATGTTTTCTAGGTCAGACTTATTTAAACTAATTTAATAAAACAGTAAATTAGTTTGGTGTAAGCCTAGTTTAACTTGAAATCTCACTTCATGAAGCACACTTCAGATTCCTTACATGGATTGTTCACGCTGGGAGAAGTTTCAGCTGGTTGCAATCTGCACTCCTCACCACTAGATGCCACTAAATTCTATGTATCTTACAAACTGTTACTTTAAACTGTTCAGGCTTTCCCTTCAGGTTTTACATTATCTCCTCATTTGGTATTCATAACATTTATTTATTAGTCCATCTAGCAGATGGAGGTGGTTGTTTATCTTTCCACTGCATGGCTATACATTTATTGGCTGTGATAGGAGCGCTAATAAATTGGAGTTTGTTTTCATTGACTTATATCATAGATGTGTTGCCCAGTGGGGTTACTTTTTCAGTTAGATCTGAATTACAGTCCTATTAATAGATGTTGGGATTTCTTAAAACCTCCGTGGTTTTACCAGCTTTTATGAAGATAAGCAAATCTATTAATCCCTTTGCTGGAAAATTAAAAAGTTTTTTTTTTTTTTTTTTTTTTTAAACGTCCTCTCCTCTACTTTTTCCAGTGTTTCTGATACTGGGAGCATTGTGAAGAGTCCATTTGTCAGTTTGTCTCCCGACGGTACAGTGTTGTCAAACGCACGTCAGCGACTGACCTCCACCTGTCAGCTGAATCTCAACCTGTTCCCCTTTGATTCACAAAACTGTACCATCACCTTTACATCCATGAATTCCAACGGTAAAATAAACAAGATTAACTGCAGGCTCATCTCATTCATTTACTACTTAACTTTGAAACATATTTGATGTCATTATTTCATTTGTTTTTGTTCTCTACACAGTGGCAACTATAGTTCTAGGAACACTCAGGAGTGACACAATCCTTACTGAACTCTCTGAGCTGATCATGGTTACAAAGGGAGAATGGCAACTCGAACAAATGGAAATTATCACTTTGTCTCTACCTGAAGAAAGTTGGCAAAGCAAACTTATATACATAGTAAGCAAATATTTGTAATGAAATTTGATAACTGTGGGTGTTTTTCTCTGATTAATATGGTGATTATTTTTAACATGATCTATGTTTTTTCAGGTGACAATCTCCAGGAAGCCGTTGCTTTATGTGATCAATTTCATCGTGCCCCTGCTTTATTTTCTTGTCCTGGATTTGGCCTCCTTCTTCATCAATGAGGCCAGAGGTGAAAAGCTGAGCTTCAAAGTGACTGTGCTCCTGTCCATATCTGTCCTACTGCTGATTCTTAAGGACATGTTGCCCTCCACTGAAGACAAGCTGCCAATGATCGGTGAGCTGCTGCACAGACCAGAGATTTAACTGTGATAGAGTGTTCAGCATCCTCTTTACTGGCATCAACAACATCACACTGACCAAAAATGTCTCTGCACCGTTACTCTAGCCACGTACTGTGCTGTGATCTTTGCCCTGGTGGGACTAAGCGTTTTGGAGGCCATGCTGGTCAGCTTCCTAATCGACCTTGATGGTTATTGTGGTAAGAAGTCTCAACTCTCTGTAAAAGCCCAAGTGGATATTCAACTGCAAGTCGACTCTCACACAGGTAAGGTAACATATATGTACATGTATATGTCATTAATAGATTCAAATAACTGCTTGACAAGTGGAAAGAATCAGCAACTTGCATCTAATCCAGGTTTAGGGTTTGTGATGACCAAATTTAAGACCATATTTCCCACATTTTTTCATGGCGATAAACACATTGGAAATGTTTGACCATGTCTTTGAGTATCTGAGTGTTGCCTCTTTATGGGCTGCATTCCTCTTTGGGGATCTGGGTCTTAAATTGCAACAGAAATCCCGATGCAAAATTACCACAGCAACAACTTCACCAGTTTCCCCAGAATGAGATTCTTTCATTTTGCCGCGGACTCTTGAAAGATTTCATTTGATGATTTCTGACATGTAAACATCTGCTGCTTTTGCTTTGTTTAAGTGGTTTACTCGTATGACATATCGCTCAAAAGCGTCGCTTCTTACGGTTCAATTGATGTGGACCATTTCAAAATGCAACTACCACAGGGAGGTCAATATACGCTTCTGTCAGACAAAAAACAAAACAGTTATAACTCACCTATGAAGCATTATTATAATCCACAAATTTATGCTGACAAAAACGCTGCTTCTACAGTCTTCACACATCCCCAAAGGTCTAAATCTAGTAAAATATATAGTCCAAACACACTATTACATCCATAGATATCCAAGAACTGCCATTGCATTATTTCAAATGTTCATATTTCTCTACATTTTATCCATAATTTCTTAAGTTTGCATGTTATTTAGCTATGAAGTTATACCTTAAAAGAGAGGCGGTTAAGATCAGGAAAAGGATAATGTGAACTACATCTCTTTACTTATGCAAATGCTAAGTCAGCAATTAGCCTGCTATTAAGTATTATGTTAAAAGAGAGGCAGTTAAGGTAAGGATAAGGGTAAACATAAGGGTTACGTTTTGTTACTTATACAGTGAACCATGTCTTTATGTATTATGAATTATGAAGTGGATTATTGCTACATTTGGTTTAATTTATTTACTACAGTGTAGCATTGTAGCAGGGGTCAGATGGCCGTCATTTTAGTAGGTTTGTCTTGTACTAGGGGTGGGCGGGGTTTGTAACAGCATGTCGTGTATGGACAAACAGAATGTGTCTGCAGCTATACATGTCTCCAGTGAGGGCCTGTGTTGAAGGAGATACCTCCGCCACTTCCTTTGACCTCAGAGTCAATCAATAGCCAGCAATTGGCCATATGGCTTATGGGTCTTGTAGTCAACAACACTCCCCGCGTCCAAAGGAGTTTTCATCTTTTTCTTGGAATTATAGATTGTTATAAATGTATTTAAATGATAAACAAATGGCTCCTCTGTTGTCTTCTGGGAAAAAAAGTCAATCTCATAGATTTAGGTTATCGAAAGGTGTTTTTATATATACAATTAGCTTTTAAATAGACTTTTTTTTTGTCTTTGTTAATTTGTTTTTCACTTAAATTCACACATTCAGTATATTGTTTTACCCTCTTTTTTAAAAGCATCTGGACTAAACCTTATTACCTTACCTTACCTTATTTTCCGGTGATATTGTTATCTACTTTGAATTTGGACTAAGTGAGGCTTCATATTATGACCCCATTGTGTTTTCCAGCTGATAAGTCCCAGTTCTATCCATCTGCATCATCTTTTTTTCAATACAATATTCAGGTGAAGATAAGAAAAACACCATTTTATTTCAGTGTGCTGAAAACTATATAACTCAATGACAGGAGTACTTACACTGATTCTGATTGTTGAGGGAAAGACTTCTGTGTTGCCCTTTCATATGAGACTTTGTATGTGCATGTACTAAAAATGGAACAAGAACAGCTCTCAGTTTACTTTGGGTATGCCTTGAATAGGTGTTTTAGGTGAATTTTTCAGGACCTGTAAGAGGAAGGATATCTGGGTTTTGGTACATTTTTATATACCTCACATTGAGTTTAGCAATTTTCTCCTAAACTTTTTTTCATATGATAAAATAAACCAAATTTGTCAAATATTAAATGTTTTCTATACACTAGCAGACATATGAAAACTTTATTGATTGACTTTGCCGATGAACATCCCTATTCATATTTTAAGATACAGGAAGGAATACAAATGCCAGCCATGTTACAGTATTTGATATTTAGTCCACTTGGGGGCAGCACAACAAACAAGCTGGAAACATCACACTTAACACATCTCATCACTATGAATGAGCATCCCAATATAGATGCATCAGTGATCATACATGTACATATAGACCCTGAACACAACTTTCCCCTGTCCCACACAGATCCTGCTGGAGCTGAGGAGACTCCAGAGAAAAATGACATCCCTCTGGATTTGCCCAAAGGCCCCAACCTGTTGAAACAAATCCTGGAGGAAGTGAAGGCAGCTCGACAGGAAGCCGAAGGGCAAGACAAAGACAAGAGGAAGCCTGGACGCTACTTAAGAGTGGCTAAAATTATAGACTCTGTGTTCTTTACCTTCTATTTTGTAGCTGTTGTGGTTTTTCTGACATGCATGAACGTAGTGTGGATTTTACAAATAGAGTAGAAATGATTTGTGTATAATCTGCCAGTGCGTGCTTTCTGAATTACTAAGTACCACTGTTTCTAACCCCCTAACAGATTACACTGAGCTTTTCAGACATGACTAACAACCTGCATGCAAAGTTTGATAACTTGAAAATGACTATATATACAGCATGATATGAAATGGTTAAATGATTTGATGTTTGGATCAAAGTAAAGTTGATAAGTGTTTATATTGTTGGTTTATTGTAAATGTGACACAAGCTAAAAGGGGGAAAATGAGAGAAATCAGAGGGAAGGGGGTTTGCTGCATTTTACTGCTGAAGGTAATGGAAGATGGCATGTATGTACCGTGCAATGGGAAAACTTTTATTTTAGGGTGATGACTTTTACTATGTTGGTCTATTTTTCTATTGTAGTCCTACATTGAAAAAACTCCTTCAGTAAATGTATGTAAGGTTATTATTACTCATGCATTAATGTAAAAGCCTTATTTCACTGTTGGAGCTGGTTTGGGTGGAGCTCATTTGAGCATTAACTAATGATTATTTTCATTAGGGATTAATCTGATGATTATTTTCTGTATCAATTGTTGGGTGCGTGAAAATAGTGACAAAATTGTCACAATTACTCAGTGCCCAAAGTGACACTCTTATAATGTTTGTTTTGTTCATCCAGCTTATTAGTTACATATTATTACTAATACATTACAAGTACTTTAAGTATTAAAAGGAAAAGTAACAATCCTTCACAGTAGTGAAGCTGGAACCATGAAATGTTTTTACATGAAAAATTACAATATCAAAATACTTGCCACTTAATTTTCTGTTAATCAGGTTATCGTTTCAGTTTGACTTGTACAAAGTGTTGGTAGTTAATTTGTAACAAAACATATTTAACAGGCTCCTCATATGTTATGCAAAAATCTTAATGTGTACAGTAACTGAAGGTTTCAGTACCAAGAACCTTGGTATCTTGATTTGGATCTGTGTTCCTTTATAGGAATTTTTAATCTGTTCTGTGACTTTAACAAAAACACACTTAACAACATTTTAAAAGCGCCACTTGTCTACTTAAAGTAAGTGTGATACTGCTCACAGTGCAGGCACAAGGTGTGCATGCCATATGACATGTACATGTGTCATATGACAGGACATATTGGTTGAGGGGTTGTTCGTTTGTGTCAGCCCAGCTGCACGGAGGGGCGGGTTTACTGATTTACCCAAACTGTAGCCTTATAATGTTGAGTGGCACTGTACTAATTATTCTAAAATTAGTCAAAAGTGTATATATAACTGTTTTCATAAACAAGACATGCTCCCAAAATCAGATTTGATTGGACCTCGTGATTTGTTTTCCGCACCAACAACTGACCGAGCAAACCAACCAGCAGGTGTATCAAAGCAAACATACTAACAACGACAATAATTCTATTGTACCTTCATAATAAAAGCATTATTATATATTTGCCGTTAATGTACTATGAGAAGGATTTACTTTGAAAACCAGTGCCGGAAGTGCCAGTTTGTTTCAAAGGAAGCTTTACGCTTGTTGCGGAACAGGTCAGCTGGTTGGTTAGTTTACAGCTTCAGTTAGCTAACTGTCATAGCCTTGCTAGCTCCTGAGGGAGTGTTTTTCTCCAAACCTTTGGCTCATATTGACTTCCCCCATCAATTTAACAACGACGCAGCTCATGTTAGCGAGGCGACGAGGCTCTGCGTTTCTCCAGCTAGCCAGTGATACACATGACAGCTTGGAGCATCCTGCTAGCATAGCAGCTAAGTTAGCAAGATACACTGGGAAGAAGTAAGGTGAGAGGTGTTTCCGTTTGTTTTCATTAATGACTCTCGTGTTGCTCGATACAGAGTGACCTGACTGGTCTCCCACGGTAGCAGTGTATTTAATAAAACGCCACAACTAAACATTAACGTTATTCATATGAGTTTTTGTGTGATAGCTTTTTCGTTGCTAGTAAAGGAATGTCAGCTCAGCAGACTGCACAACTTTACACAGTCAGGATAGCTTTTTTCCTGTGACATAAATTAATAAAAACACAAGAAAAATCTCTGCCACCGAACTACACAGTGGTAGCCAATAGAAATGTGTTAAAAGACTATTTTTAATGAATATATGTGCTGCTTTGTGCGTCATATGTTTGCCGAATTGAAAAATGGCCTTAAAAGTTTAAGACATGTTTTGAATGATTTTTAATGAATGCCCAGTTATTTGCCGACAGTAAAATAAACTCTAAATGGGAAACTATATGAATGGAGTTCTTTTTCCATCCAAGATAAAACTGAACAACCACTCTTCTATTAAATTTACATTCTCAGTATCTGTTATTACATTACAGACAATGCACAGCCTGATTATGCGATATATTACTTAATTATGGCCATGCCAATAATGTAAATTAAAATTTGGAAAATTTAGCTTTCTGCTTGTGGTTTATTCCTTCAGGTGAGGACCAGTGTCATCAACCATGGCAGGTGGAATTACAGAGAGCGGGGAGCCCTACTCCCCATTTGTGAGTATCAGGCAGGGTGCTGTGGGTAATCCGTATTTTATTATTAGAATTATGATTATTGTTTAAGGTAAGACATACATTGTAATTGTCAAAGAATAGTTCTGTGCAACCAGGAGCACTCAAGCACAGCACGTAAGGCTCTGAAGTAATAAAGATGTTGTATTCTTCTTACAGTCTTTACCTTGTTTTATAAACTAAATGGTTCTCTGAGCTGCTTTTATTGACTGCTTATAATGTTCCAAATACTTCACACACATATGACAGAAAAAGGCATTTTTCTGAAGAAACTTTAATTGTGTAATCAAAGAAGTATGTATGGTGCATATGAAAGTGCAGTGAACAATAAAGAGGAAGCTAAATTGCTTACACATCCTTTTTTTTTAACACATCATGCCTCTTTATGGTCTGTACTCACTTTTGAGTCCCTGACTGCTTACATCGGCATGACTTCGCCACAGAGATTAAGTTCTGCTGGTCAGATGTTTTTTTCCAGGAAGCTAAAGCTTTGAATCATTAAAGCAACTCTGCTACCAGATAGGTCTAAGTGCTGCCCCCTTAACCTCAATGTCATCCACGACAATGGTTGGATAATCCACCAAGTAGTCTGATCTTTATCAGCAAAGGCACTGAGGAACACCTAATAATGCATTGCTTGAAATTTTGTATTAGATAAACCACATTAAATAAATTATTAATGTAAGATGGAACTTGATAAACCCATAGAGAGGTTAGTGCAGCAGCAAAACTAAAAGGTTGTAGTGGGGAGAAAGTGAATTTAAGGGTACAACATATACTTGAAAATGAAATCATAGAGCTGAATGTCATGAACAACACTGAACATGTCTATGTGCCTCCCATTCCTCTCATGTCTTCTCTAGGTGGGGCTGGTGTATATGTTCAATCTGATTGTGGGAACAGGAGCTCTGACAATGCCCAAAGCCTTTGCAACAGCCGGCTGGGTGGTTAGCATAGCACTCATCTCCTTTTTAGGATTTATGAGGTAAGTCTTGCTTTACCCATCTAACTCTTATCCCTTTCCCAGAGACAACACAGACAGGGCGGCTTACATTTTCTACCTACATCTGCCTTCTTTTCTATTTATATTTTGACTCAATATGAAACAACATGTGTTCTGCTAAAACGAAAGTGATCATTCAGGAGACTTTTAATGTCATTGTTTCATAATAGCAAGCATAGCAGGGTCATTTATGTTGGTGTTTTCTAGTGAAAAGTGTGTGGATGTGACAGTTTATTTTCTAAAGTCATACATGTTGCATGATTCGGTTGTCAAAAACTTGCAGCACAAAATATAAATATTAAAACCAAATCTAGAATCAAATCTAATACATCAAACATAAAAACAATGCTTAGTTTGATAGGTTGATGTCTATGAAAAGGCATTCATGTGCTGAGAAACCTGAATTTTGTCGCCGTCAGTCAATATTAATTGTGTTCAAATCAAACATGAAACATCTAAGGGTTAAGGTATAATATATCTCAAACTGAACAATATTTTTTTATAAGAACAAAATAACTAAAGACTAAAGAAACTAAAGATTGTACTGAAGTGAAAACAGATTTTTATTTTTATTAAAATTATGATATCAAAGTAGTTGATGATTCATAATGATTTATTTTTTAAATTATTGCACATTGCATTAGTGTGCATTTTCATTTTTTCCTACATGAAACATGTTTGATGTGAACATTTCTTACCAGTTTAAACATGAGTCCATCTACTTTCTTTAAAGTGCTATAACCAGTATTTTGATGATAATAATAATAATGTATCAAATGATAATTTGAAAGGTGTTACTTGTAGTGATAAACCTACAGAAAATTGTCACCTGAATCTGCAGCTCCTCTCAGCTTTATAATGAGTTACAGATTATTGTGTAGATGTCCAAAGTTGAGCACTTAGCAGCTAATGAGCCAAATATTTTCCTCAGGAGTTGGTAGTTAGTTTCACAACATGTTTGCTCTGCTTCAAAGTGGCTAACAAAACAGCTTTCGCAGGTTTAAATTTAATAAATCTCCCTCTTTTTATACTTACTAGCGCAGTGCCCGTTCAAAACATGCACGTTCATAACTGGCTGATTGCTCTGCCTGTGTTAGTGCCGCTGCTAGCTTTCCCGAGAGCTGCTCATACAAACAACTTCACACATGAAACTGTCTCTCTCTGGGTCCTGAGCAATAGACTTGAGCCCTGAAACAGCTACAGATTTACTATAATGTTTTTATGTGACAAAATATTGAATTATGTTGCTATCCTAACTCATTGTACCCTGAAATAATACATAAAAGGTCCCAAAGCACTTTAAAATATGCAGCTCAAGGGTATACTACTCACTTACTGTGTGCTTGTCCTTCAGAGGGAAACATTGTACTGCTGCATTTAACCGACAGAGAAATGTTACTTACTACGTTGCAGATTCAGATTTCACTCACAAAATACAACAAGTTAAATGTGATGCATTGTTTTTCATTAATCTATTCCATTATATACTATTCAGATATTAATTAAATGTAAGTACATTGTACTGATAATGCCTCTCTTTCTCTCTTCACTGTAAGTAAAAATTTTGATAACTTTGACTATGCGGTATTAATCACTTTTCTATAAATATTTAATAGTTTTACTTCAGAAAAAAGTTTAGTACGTCCTCTACCACTGCCACTACCAACATTTCCAGTAAGATAAAGGGTCAAAAGTATAGCAAGATAGCGTTTGCTTGAGGCCCCCATGTCAACGTGTCATGTGTCCACATTAAACCAATTCAACACTGCACATCCTTGGATCCTCAGCAGTACATCTGCCAAGTGTGAGGCAGATGGGATGAACGTTCCACAAATAGTAGGGACATACGTACAGACACAGACAGAGATTACTTGCTTTATATTTGGACTTTTTTCATTAAAGCAGCAGTGTGCCAATCAGCACTTTACACAGAAGCTGTAATGGATCCGCCAAAAAAAAAAATAAGTCCAAGTTTGCAAAATAATGTTGCAGTGGTCAAGGCCAAAATGATAATGAAATAATTTCCACACTTGATAAGTCATACTGTATTTGACCATCAATGTCATTAAAAACGTCTTGTTAACCTGTTGCATCTACTTGTATTTTAAACTCTCCTTTCCCCTCTCCAGCTACATGACCACTACCTTTGTGATTGAGGCGATGGCAGCGGCCAATGCTCAGCTGCGCTGGAAGAGGAGAGAGCAGGAAGAGGTGAGATAATAAACTCGTAGTCCATGTTTGAATATCTTCAATAGCATGCTGACTGAATGGACGACTTTTTATTTGCTGTAAGGATGTATCACGCAAACCAAATATTAAACAAGTAAATGTTCCTCTTTGTCAGAGTTTGTCTAATAAGACATGAGGCCAAACACTGTTTACACTCTGCAGCGAAGAAGTGGAACTAATATTAGTATAAATGCAGTGTAAGGACATTTCCAGTCCTTAGCTTTAGTTAATGTGCTTACAGGTCTCGTTCTGACATGCTGAAGCATGTTACGGCAGCTAATAACAAAACTTTATCTTTTTTAAATGGAGATAAACTTGTGAAATAATCAGCGTCAAATGAACTCAAATCCAGAGTGACTGCAGTCAGGGAGAGTGATGGTGTGCTTACACAGGACTGCACTGCACGACAGATTAATGAGAACTATCCTTTCTTCCTTTGGAGCACGCCAGATCTGGCTTGTTTAATTGATTCTTAAAAATAGACTTATGCAAATCCTGCTATGGTACAGATTACACACTGAGGACACAAATACTGGATAATATGGGAGCGTGCAGTGTGGGCAGTAGTGCACTAAATGCAGACTGATACTGTTTAGCAGCGGATTTGTATTATAATAACATTTTATTTTGTTGGTGTGGATTTCTAATAATTTGCATTTCTCTCTGTCAGTAGAAATTTAAAGAGTCTATCCTGTTGAGTTGAGGTAAAGCTGGGTTCATGCTTGATGCAATGGATTAAAGATGTAGTTTGTAACTTTTGTAAAAAAAAAAAAAAAAAAATTGCTGAAACTCACTACAATCGCATAACGAAATGTGACAGATAATCTATAAAAAAACTCATGTTACACTGCTTTTTTTATGGCCCGTAGCGCTTCTAATGGTGTTACTGCACATGATCGAAAACAGCAAGAGCCAAGGAGTCTTAATGAACTGTGGTCACATTGTCAAACTAGGCAGCGCTGATCATATATGAATCAAGATTCTGTTAGTACATTGCCTATTTCTCACCGAACATGTTTTCAGAAACAAACTTTAGTGTACTGTTTAGCTGTAAAATGAGAAGCAGTTGGAAGAGGAGGAGGGACATGATTTTTTTCACATATGATCCATCTCAAGTACTTCTCTCACAATATAGTGACTGTTTTAGCAAATATTACAAAATTATACTTTCATAAAAGTACCAACTGTAGCTTTAATGGCAGTCCTGCATTAGATTTCTACAGTGTGGTTTTGAACTATTGATAACATCAGACTATTGCATGTGTTTAAGCCATATTTCATTATATTCCCCAATTGTTAATTAATATTTTCACTGACATTGTAACGTACAGCCATGGTTGCTTCTGCAAGTACTTTAAGAACTAGATTTATATCCAGATTACAGAGATTACAACACACAGATGTCACGACTGATGTGTAAAACTGGACCATATCTTCCCTTGAAACTTTATTTTTTAGTAAAATATAATTCGCGATATGCCTACCTTGAGATTTTGTAAACGTTGCTTCCCCTTTTTAAAATTAGCATATTGCAGTTCCATGAAACTGGTTTCAATTCTCATACCTGAATTTGCATATTGGCTGATACTGATACTGTGTGATACCATTACATTAGAAATATGAATATATAAAAGATGACAGCTGTGTACTACTAACCCTGTGTGGTTGTGACATGATTGCCATCATTGTTTTATGGCATGGCTCAAGTTAAAGCCTTTGTAAAACATGAAGAAGTACATACAGAGAATAAATGCCATAGAAATTTTCTGTATTATCTAATCTGACAAATTGCTAACAGCCAACATTTCACTGTTAACTGGAAATCAGTTCTTAAACAGTAGTTGCCAGTGGCTGCACAATGCAACTTGTTGTGTAGGTTACTGTTTCAGAGCGAAAAGAATTGATTACTGGAAAAAACTGCTGTTGTACTTTTAGTGTTTAACTACTGTAAAGTTTATTAATAATTGAAGAGATGTTGGTGCATAGACGTGCGTACTTGCCGATACCAGATCCAGCATTTTAGGCAGTGTTGGAGGCATTTCCATCACTGGTATCTGTATCAGAACAACTCTACTTGCCTCTTTGTAGTGTCGTCAGCAAAGTGTATAACTTTGACTGAGTCATTATATATTGTACAATCATTTGTGTGCAAATAATAAAGCTGCAGAGAAAAGCAATAACCTTGGAAAGCCTCAATAGAAGACATAAAGGAACACTGATGCCAGTTTTTAGCAAGTTGAAACAAGTTGTAAAAATGATGATAAGTTGCAGCCCTTCCTCACTGAACACAGCCTCTGGAAGAGTGCTTTTGGATCTATATATTTTAAAGCAGAAGTAAAATGGAGAGACACTTAAAACATGGTGAGGACACAAGGACACATCCATTGATCTATTTTTGCTTTCAGCAAATTCATTTTTATAATGTTGAATGCAAGACAAGAATTTTAAAGCCAACTGTTAAAACAAATCTTGATTATAACTGAAGCGAGACTCGCTGGCCTGTGATTATTTAAACATATTCGACATTATAAAAACATCTTAGGCATTTTTCAGCTCACAATATTTCTTCAGTAGCAAAGCTGAGGAACCTCACTTATCGATGATGTCCTCCTTATCTGAGCAGAAGTTGATCACCACATGGTGCCATCTGCCAGACTTAAACTTTTGTTGAGAGAAACAATGACTTGGCTTTAATTGTTGCTCTGTAAAAATGACTCCACAATAAATTACTTTATGTTTAAAGCCAGAAAAGAATTCCCCTCTTTTAAAAGGAAGCCATATTTTTTATTTAGAAGGCTGTTGTTTTTTTATCGTCCAGTGGAAGCACAAGTGAAATGTGTCTCTTGCCACTCGTCCATAAGAAACCCAATTTGGATGAAGCTGTCAGTATTGGACTGTACTCGATTATCAAGGGGAACAACTCAGCCTTCCATCATTTTTACTTTGACTAAGAAAACGACTCTAAATGTCTGGGCCTTTGCTTTTTTGTTTCTCCCATGGTACAGAAGTCATCTTGCTTAATGCTTGTGTCTTTCCAGTTGAGGAGTTATGAGCCTGAGGACAATAGCCTGACTCTAACTGAGCCCCAAATGCCTGGCCTTGATTCATGGCGCCTGTACACTTCTTAGCCTTTTTCCTCCCACGTAATGGAAAACAAGAGAGGGAGAAAACTGAAAATGTTTACCGCTGAATGCTTTTTATTTCCTCTGCTTGAGTGAAGCATATTACCGAAAATAAAGCGATGCATCATGTGTTTTCCAAGAAAGCCTCACATATAAGATGGAAACTAGAGACAGTGAACTAGATAATGGTCCTTCTGTCTCCACTACCTGCTATAGAAATCATTGTAAGCCAGTACATATGGAAAAGAAGCAGAAAAGCTAAGGCACAGTATAAACTCGGCGTTGTGATATGAATGTATGTTATTGCTGTACAGCTGTGTGACCTAAAATATTACATAACTGGATATGTTGCATTCAAGGCTGAGTGATGCTCTGATTAGATAATATGTGGCACTGGATAGGAGATGTCACTGCCCTCTGCTGGATTGTTAAGTGGAGTGCAACTAGATTGTATTAATTTGTATAATTCTAAAGTGTTACACAGGACTGTTTTCAGGGAAACTAGAATATTGTGAACTGTTAGTAGGGTTTATTTAGTTGTGTTTGGATAAACAGATGATTACCAGACTTCCAGAGTTTCTTGAAGGAGATGTTTTATTTATTATGATTTTACTATTAAAAACCTTATCCTTTAAATATGGGCTGCAAAAAACAATGATTTCAGGTAATCTGTTGAGTATTTCCTTAGTTTATAAGTAACAGGAAATGGCGAAAAATGGCCATCACAATTCCCTAAAGACCAATAAGTCCAAACTTAAAGATATTCTATTTACAATCGTAAAAGAGTGACGAAACAAACTCATATTTACATTAAAAGCTGTAACCAGATTATCTTTGTATTTATTGTTAAAAACAGACTCAAGTTGTTGCTGATGAATTTTCTGTTGATCAACAATTGATAATAGTTGCAGTTCTACTCTATATACTCCTGTATGTTGAATTGTATACCTACTTGTAGATATATTTAGGACTGGGTAAAATACTGGACTGTTCTAGCTGTTCTATTATTTGTCTCAGAGCCTTCAGTCTCTGCTAAACAATCTAATTTTGCATTGGAAAAGTATGCAATTAAAAAAGCTAAGAGCTTATACAGCAAAGGCCAAGAGTTAGGGAGAAGGAAACATTGAATTTGTCCACAAAAAGAAGCCGTTTAGGTATGTATGGTTGGTGAAATAAAAAAAAGAAAAACTAAAAACATGATACATATGCAGAATCTTGTAAAAAGTTACTAAAATATCAGAAATACTCGTTATTTAGAGGAAAAAATCTGCTTAAAGTTAAACAAAACCATTGTTTTACACAACCACACAAACTTGCTGCAGTTATTGCATTTACATTTCGTTCTGTACCATTGTTCTGCATGAAATATGTTGCTTAGTCACGGGTCATCAGTGTACTCAATGATAGAAAAGGGGTCCCTTAAGGCAAAAGGTTTTGAACCATTGCCCTAGATTACCTTGGGACTAATTAAAATGAATTAATTCAAAGTGTAAAAATTGAACACCGTCTCCTTTTTTTCCTGTAATTAGTACTGTCTTCTCTAGAAACCTTCTGATTAATTTTCAGTTTCATATAATTTCCTTTCTAGGAAATTATACTGTAGTTAGTATGTCTCAAAAGTGCTTTATCAGATGGCCTGTGTTTTAATTCATTTCTTTTAGCCAGTTAGGGACAGGATTTAGTATGTAACATGTTCTAATATTGAAATTGCCATGTCCTGGTTACATCATAGAATACTGCCTCACTTTCTTTTCTAATTCACCTGCATGAAGGAGAAATTACATTAACACAGATGTACAGGTAGTCTAGTGTTTGACTGTGTTTTCCAAAGTTAGTTTGACTCTGTTAATGCCTTAAAGCAGTGGTAAAGAAACAGTCATCCATAATTCTAATTATTAATCTGTTATTTTTTTGCTTATGTTTGCTGTTTGTCACAGAGCCATTAGCTCCCGTCACTCCTCATCTCCTCTTCCTCCCTCTGTCCCAGCCGACGTGTCACTTATTAATTCTGCTGATGACACTCACAAAGTTGACTACCATTGACAGCTAATTGACGTTAATCTACAGAGAATTTGTGAAAAAATAACAAGCGATGTGCGGGTATGCTATCGGTGTGAATTGTGAAGTACTCCATTCTGCAAAGTGCTTCCCAGCTGTTGTTTGTAATTTCCAGATGTTGCTTTCCCCTGCGTCACATACAGAGCAGATAAACACTCTGTTAATCGCTTGTAAACTGACTGTTGTTTATGTTGAGAAATTAGGAAAACAGGCAACTAAAATAGAGCTTCATACACTCATATTATCTCCACAGGTCGATGACAGCGACTCCACCTCTGAGTATTCAGATGATGATATCATGGTCCGAGGTCGATCTGAGCCGGAGACGAAGCCCATTTTGTCTGTTCGTGAGTATCTTGATGGATATTTATGATACAAAGATTTTATTACAGAACTGAGGCTGAGCTGTTTAAACTGTGCTGGACATAGTTACTAGTTAAGCTGGAGCCTATCTCAGCTGACATTGGGTGAGAGGCGGAGTACGTCCTGGACAGGTTGCCATACTATCACAGGGCTGACACACAGAGGCAGACAACATCTGATTTGAGACGTATTTGTGAGTTTACCATACAAAAAGCTAAAAAAACAGATTAAAAGGCAATGTGTTTCTATTGTGTTGTCACATTATGGAACAATGCCAACATAAACAATGGTTTACAAAGCGATTTCTGAGGATTTCAAGTGTAAATGATTTTTTAATTTTAACCCTCTGGGGTCACGAGCTCAGCAGGATTTTGATAAATATGTATTTTCATTGATATCTTTGAGTTTTTATCATAAAAGCATGAAAAAAGTATGACAGAAATCTTAAACTTTACATTTTCAATGTGTCCACTGCCAAGTTATATGATATATTTAAAATACTGTGATTTATTCAGAACATAAATTTTTTAAATCACTCAGTCACAGCAGAGAGTACCCACCCCCTCCACCCCCCTCTATTCACGTGATAACAATCTAATAATTGCTTATTATTTCAGTTTCAATTGGTTTATTTTCCAGGGGAAGCACAGTGAAAACACACCCACAGTAATCACATTAGAATGTCCTGCAGGTCAAAGCCGTCTTAATAAAACTTTTAAAATATCTTACGAAGATAATGCAAATTATAAAATGTCTTTTTGGTACATGAAATGCGAACACTGTGTCACTTCAGTTTAACCATCAAATCTCAGCGTTGTTTGAACAGTTAAGTATCAACTAGTGCTGAAACAATCAGTTCATAGACAGAAAATCCTGAACACTTCTTCTATGCTTCTGTGTGCATTCTTTTGATAATTAAGCAATGTTTTTAGTACTTTATCAAGTGAAAATGTAAAACTTTCTTTGATGCCATCCTCTTAAATCTGAGGATTTGCAACTTTTCTGTTTTTCTAAAGATTGCAATTTGAATATCTTTGGATTTTGGCATATTGGTCAGATAAAATATGACATCTGAAGGCATCACCTCGGGCTTTGGGAAAAAATAGTGATGGCATATTCTGACACAACTTTCTGACATTTCATAGACTAAACAATTAAGTGATGAATTGGAAAATCACCCTGAAAATAGTTCTTAGATTCTGCTCTTTAATTGATATAATTAAAAATAAACGTTACGTTAAAGATAAACGTAATGTAACTTTTGATTTCAACATATAAAATGTGAGGGCTGCTGTTGTGTATTAAGTACAGTTTAGGCACTAAATCTGGCGAACATTGCAGGTTTCAATCACTCATCATTTTAATCATTTTTATCATAATATGACTGAACAGATTTAAGAATTCTTTGGTTCCTGAGCTTGTCAAACTGTTATCTCAGAGTTTGGGGTTTCAGAAGCCAGGAGTCATGCTTCTGGTGCAGCTGATGTGCTTTTTTCTTTAAAGACCTGTGTTACTATGTAGGCTGAGCATGTCATATAGGTTTGTAGTGTGTGTTTTGTTGTTGTGTGCTGTCATATTTAAGTGTACACCTTGTGATGCAGGACAAGTCTCAGAGAATCAAAGTCACATTAAATCATCGTACTGCTCTTTGACATTTAACTGCCTCCACAGTGCAAGTATTTAATGCAGATGGCCTCTGTGTTTTCACAGAGAGGTCAGGAGGTCACGTCGATCATTTCGACATCGTGGAGCGGGTCGAGATGGGTCAAATGGCCTCCATGTTCTTCAACAAAGGTAATATTCTTCTTGCCTCAGGCTTCTCCTCTCACCGCCCATTATTCAATTAACTCCAGCGCCGCCATCATTAGCCACGTGTAACATTTATGGAGGAGCAGTGAAGGTTGTGTGGGATGATTCAGAATTAACTCAGAATTTTTTTTTTACACCTTTTATGTCCAATCCTCACATTCACAAAGGAAGACTGCTGTCTCTCTAATTGGATGTAATTATGTATGGATAAATTGCCTTTGGTTGTAATTACCTGTTTGAGGCTCCATCGAGGCTGTTAATCTCTTTTAAGTACGGATGGGTGGGTGGGTGGGGGGTGGTGGTACAACCTGTACTTGTGGCCAAGATGTTAAGGCTTATTTCTGAATAATTCGGGAGCTAATGATCCTTTGTTAACTTGTGATGGCAAATTGAAAGCAGTATCACGTTCACCTTGAACCACACAGAACATCCTGGCGGCTTTACATTCCTCATTCATATCAGTACATTGTCCTGGTCGTGTCTGCATGCAGCACCCCCTTCTCTTCATCTCCTCCCTCCTCTTGTCTGCTTGCATTATGCCGAGCGGGTCTCCTTAACCAGATGCGAGTGACTCAACAGTCTGCGGCATCCCTGTTGTCGCAGGGATAAAGGAACAACAAAAGGTCAAAGCACTGACAACATCATCTGCGCTGACATGCTCTGTCCTTCAGCGTTTCAACACTAGGTGGAGCACTCGTCACGCACGCACACACTGTGTAACACACATGTGCTCGGCTCGTGTTCACACCCACTCGTGTGAACGCACTCATGCATGCCGTCATGCAGCTCATGCTGTTAAAGCTGCAGTATGCTCCCATCCATCCAGCCTCTTGTCGCTCAGCTCGACTGTCCTGTCCATTAAAGGTGAAGTGCTAAAAAAAAAAAAAAAAAAAAAAAACTTTGCTGATGACCTTTCCCACCGTGAAACAGGCTGTGTGCAGGTGAGCACGTGGAGGTATTGATTGGTAATAAGGAAATGAGTTTTCTCTCCTCTCTCTCTCTCTCTCTCTCTCTCTCTCTCTCTCTCTCTCTCTCTCTCTCTCTCTCTCTTTTTCTCTCCATGCTATGGGAAAGCTGCCCGGTGACTCTAATCAGAAATGAATTAGATAGGCACGAGTCCCAGCACATGCCGAATGAGGAAAGGAGAAACACAGCTCGTTTGTCTATCCTGACAGCACCGACCTGCTCACTCTCTACCTGATATCAGGAATTCTCTTTTCCGTGTGAGAGCTTATTTTCTGTGCACAAATGAAGCAACAAATTAGGCGTCATTTATTTTTTTCTAAATAATATGCTATCTGAGTTAAGTACTGATATCAAAATGTCAAACATCTCAAAAGTTAAATGTTGTCAAACACAAGTAATCATTCAAAAACTTTGACCTTTTGACTTAGCAACATTTTGTTTTAAATCAGGAACTATCTCATCAAAGAACGAGTAAAAGCAGTTTATGTTCTTTAAATGTGGTGATATGTAAACAATATTTTCAGATAGGCGGTGACAGTGTTGCACTCAGTTGTTCATGTGCAAAGTGATAGATATTGTTGCATATACATATAAACAAAAGAGATCAGAGAAAAGTTTTAAATCTGTAGACCAGTTTTGAATTTTTTGACCAATCACTGCGTGGACGAAAATCTTGATTGACATTATCTGGTTCTTCAAGCTTCTGATATATAAAAATTTGAAACTTTTCTTTGTCATACATGCTGTTACACTGAATGTAAGACATTTGAAGATTTCATGTTGGGCTGAGTGAAACTGTGAGGGATTTTTTTAGACCAAACAATTGATTGATGAATCGACAAAAAAAAGTCTCTATCCACTCCAAAACATTTTCTTAGTTCTCAGTCTTTCCACTCTTCTTGACATTCATCATCATTTTTTAAATTTGTTGTTAAGTTAATTAGTTTTAGAAAGTTATAGACTCAAGGCCAGGTGGGAACACTAATAGAAAGAATTGGGACAGACCTAACTGCATGACCTCTGCATGCTTAGATAAATAATTCATGTAAAAACATGCTGAGGACTTGTACAACTGTCAAGAACTTTACTGGTCACTGGATACACACATGTAGGTGCCAAACAATACATCTGAGTTCTTGGTTGTGCCTGTTGATCAGGGTTTTTACTCCGTTTCATTTCAGATGTCAAAACCATAGACTAGATGGACAATGCATCTCCACTTCCTCCCACTGTACAAAAATGAAGCCAAAATATCCAGAACCGTGTTATCGAGGTCCTGCTTCTTCACAGGCCCAACTCAGTGTCATTAGTCGAACTTAATCACGAGCACACAGATTGATACACAGCTGTCAAGCGCGATGCCATACCCCCTTTCTATAGCACCAATTAACTAATTAAAACTATGAATGCATAATAAGATTTAGATTTGTTGTTGGAGGCGCATAAAGTGAAAACAGTTTGAGGCCCATGTGTTAAATTACCTGGATTTTGTTGGGCCCATTGAGCAGGCGCACTAGAGACTTCAGCGGAGCAGCTAACTTCCATTTCAGCCCTGCACTAACTTATCGGACCAAAGGGATCAGATCCTGCCAGCAAAACAAGACAATTCAGAGGTTACAGACGTGTCTTTTACAATGTATTTCTTTTGAAAAATGTCTTTTTGGGCCCAATGACATCACGTGACAGACCCGGAAGTTGGTATTTCACAGTTTGGTCACTATGTCAGATTGGCCTCAAGGCCTGTCGCTGTTTGTTGGGGCTTGATTAAAACTGAGACTTGAACATACATCAGTATGATAAGAACTACCTAAAATGACAGAAACCACCTTTGTGAAAAAAGTTATTTGACGACATGTGCTTTGATGTTTTTAGTATGGCCCATGTACCAAGCTCCAAACATATAAGGGGTGGGGTTTATGACCTATACTGCAGCCAGCCACTAGGGGGGTGATCAAGACGTTTTGGCTTCATTTTGGGGAGCAGTCATGTCCTCCATCTTTATGTTCAGTCTATAGTCAAAACTGATTTAAAAAAGAACCTCCAGGGGCATCCTGCCTCACAATATAATTTAGTAAGAGTGTCTGGTATATATTCATATGTGACTTTATATGGTTCATATCTCCCAGGTATTAAAAAGTAAAGTATGGAAAAATATTTATGTTTCCAGACTCTTACCACTGTTTTAAAATACTGTTTTCTACAATAGAAAATTAGGTATTTCCAAAAATAATTTAATCAATCCGGATCGTGTTTTATGCCGGGCCAGGCACATTTTGTGTGAGAGCAAACGTCTCAGAAAACATACCGCTCCTTTTATCTGATTGACAATTGGTATGACCAGTCTGCTACTTGCTGCTCTATGTAGAGGAGAGGAGAGAGCTCTGTCTTACCTCTTCATAAACTAAAGTCATATTATTTTGCGCGACGGACGCTTCATATAATAACATAACAATATAGGCCTGCTATTTATGGTGTTATGTCATCGTGTCATTTCTGTCTCTACATGGTCACGGGTTAACAATTCTCCTCTGCTCTCTGTATCGTGCACGGCGGAGTTCCGCCACACACACAGGTGAGCACGCTAGAGCAGCTCGGGCCGCATTTTCCTGACCAAACCTGACCCCGAGCCCAGTGCAGTTTGTCAGCTGACAAAGTTATTGTTATGGACACTGTGTAAATAACCAGCAACAAATGCACAGACAAACACGCTGCTCGCACAGCAGCGCAGCACGGCACTCTTAGTGCTGAGCTTGTGTTGCGTTCAGGTGTTGTCATGTAAATATCAACTTCCAGCATTTAAATAGGTCATAGCACAAAGCAGCAGCATGTCAAGTGACTTTTTACTTTTATTATATTCAAAAAAATTTTATTTTCCTAAATCTTGAAACACCTCATATGTAAGCTAGACAGACATTTCGCCTGCTCATTACTGTGCACACATGTACTGTATGTACTTAGTCCTAAAGAGCCCTTCTGGTGCCAGTAGATACACAGAAACATCCCAGCAGGCTGTGCTTTGCAAGCATACAAAAAAGTTTCACGCATGTGAAAATTATTTTTCATGCATGTGCTTCACCTCCGCTGCTACAACTCCATCCTAGAGGAAACACTCCTGTGTGCGTTTTGTGCAACAGGTGGATGTGGTAGTCTACTGGTGGAGTAGAGAGAGAGCTAAGTAGCGTTGAAGTAGAGTAGAGCAGGGCAGAGAGATGGAAGCAAAATATATTAAACCCAGTGTTAATACAACAGAACTGGAGAGAGGGGTGAAAAATAAATAGAGGTGGGCATGGCTCAAGTAGGTCGCAAAATTATAGACGGAGAATGATTGACAAAGATTGCCACTCCCCCCTCCC